TTTGTTCATTGTCAAAGAGAAATTCTTTGTCACTTCCTCCACTGCAGCAAGTGCCGACATCTTCCTGCAACGCTGGGTAAACAGAGAGCGACCAGGAAGAGGAGGGACAAGACCAGCTTGCTAATAACTCTCGGGAATTCTGCAGTTTTAATATTCAAGCCTTGCTCAGCAGGAGCACGGGGCAGTGCTGCAGTGAACTGTGTGCTGTTTCCCCAGCAGCACAGGCAGTGCTGGGGGAGCTGCAGGCCCAGCACAGCAGCGTCAGCAAACACAGCACAGCTCCCTGGAGGAACCCGGGCAGCAGCTCCCCAGTGTGGCCACAGGGATCTGGAGGATGCAGCCCAGCCCCAGAGAGGAGAGCAACAAGTCACAGCTGCTCCTCAGCACCGACCAAGAGCCTCACCTTCCTCTGTGATGTCCGAGCAGAGTCACCAGCCCCGCACTGAGCCGTGGGCTGTGAGCTGTCACTTGGAGCTGTCACATCCTCCAGCAGCCAGGATCCCTCTTCCCCCTCCTGTGTTTCAGCAGGGGGAGGAGCCCCACCTGCAGAGCATTCAGGTGTGGTGTCTGAGGGGTTGATCAGAGCCCTTGCATTATCCATCAGCAATTCTCCCTCTGCCTCCTTTTTTTCAGTGGTGGAAGAAGGCCTGGCAGCACCTTCTCCCTTCACCTCTGATCCTGCATCAGGGACTGGAGAGAGCTGCACCTCTCTTCTCTCTGCAGTGGAAGCAAAGTTCATTGTTAAATTAGAGACTCACCCCCCAGTGGGGTCACAGAATGGGTTGGAAGGGACCTTAAAGCTCAACTTGTTCTACCCCCTGCCATGGGCAGGGACACCTTCCACTAGACCAAGTTGCTCCAAGCCCACGGATGGGGGAGAAAAATAAAAAAAAAAGTAACACTCACAGGTTCAGTTTAGAAAGACAGTTTAATAGGAGAGAAAAGGAAAGGAAAATTATAATAATAACTAGAGAATATAGCAAGTGATGCACAGGGTGGTTGCTCACCACCCACTGACTGATGCCCAGACAGTCCCTGAGCAGTGGCTCTCACCCTCCCCCAGCCAAATCCCCCCAGTTTTTTCTTCAGCACCATGTCCTGTGGTCTGGAACATCCCTTTGGGCATTGGGGTCGCCTGTCCTGGCTGTGCCCCCTCCCAGCTTCTCGAGGCCCCCAGCCCCTTGCTGGCCAGGCAGTGTGAGAGGCTGAGAAGTCCTTGGCTTAGTGTAAGCACCACTCAGCAGCAGCAGAGCCAGCAGGGTGTTATCAGCAGGATTCTCATCCTGAACCCAAACATGACTCTCTAGCAGCTCCTTGGAAGAAAACTAACTCTGTCCCAGCCAAAGTCAGGACAGGAACACAGAGGAGCTGTTTTGTTGCTCCCTGTTCCACAGCTCCCACCAGCAGTGCCACCACCCCCCCTGCACAGCCTCCTGCCCCCACCTCAAGGCTCTGCCAGCAGCAGAATCATTAAGGAACCACAGCACTGAGGTCCTGCTCCAACCCTGCCCCTCCTCTGGACACGCTGCCTGTCCAACGCTCACAGACCCCCAGGACAAGCAGTGACAGGACACTGGCTCCTCTCAGCTGTCACAGCCTTCTGGGCTGGCTGTGTGACCACTCCCACACAGCTGAGTCCTTTCCAGGAAGGCAGGGGAAACTCCCTTTTTATCTTCATAATTTTATCTAGTCCTTAAAAAACCTGTGAAAATGCAGCTCAGGGTCAAGTCAGGCAGCAGAGCAGATCTCTGCCTTCTGCAGGGGTTTCACAGGCTCCTCTGCACAGCCTCTACCCCAGTTCTGAGTGCAAAAGCTTTGAATCTCAGCTGCTTTTTATGTCCTTCCTACAGCATTTCAGAGCTGGAGACCCCAGGTTTGTTACCCTGCCATGTTGGACTGGAGAGGGATTTGCCAAGAACTGATCCTATCAGCACTGCACTCTTAAGATACCACTTCTTCCTATCAACAAACCAAAAGCCATTCTGGTGGCCCAGGACATTCTACCTTAAACAAATAAAGGATTAGAAAACATTTTCCCCACCATAACAGTGTTGTGTACTTAATTCTGTCACTGTTCAGAAAGGCAGAATTAGTGTGCTCTAAACATAATAACAAGATGCAAGTAGGATACTCTGGTCCAAGAGGGACTCAACCAGTCTTTGTAACACAAAAACCAGTCCCAGTTCATTGGCAAAACAGAAATTAGTCCAACATTGGAGACCTGTGAGTGAAGGCTGTGTGTGGGATGTGCCAGCAGCTGACTCACTTCTCTGTCCCCCATCAGTCACTGCAAAGTGAGAAAAACTGTCTCTGGTCAGGAATGCAAGGGGAGTTCAGGATGAGAGTTTGGGATGAGAGCTGTGTAATGCCCTGGGCAGAGCAGAGCCCGGAGCCACACAGGCAGCTGGGATGAAAAGCACCGGGACACCGGCAGCCTCTGGTCACTGTGCAGCCCCGGGACACCCCAGCACTGGCCCCAGTTCACCCCACACCTCCTACCTGGGTCCTGGTCCCCAGGGACGGCGCCGGGAGCCAGCCTGGCCCCACACTTGCTGCAAGAACCGGGCAGACCATCCCCAGAAGCGAAGTGACACACTTGGCACTGCATGTTCCTGGTCGCAGGCCCTGCGGGGGACCTTGGGAGCCACGAGGGGAGAGAAGGGGACAGGGCAGAGAGAGAGAAATACCGACATTAAAGTGCGATAATGGGACTTTGTCACGTCACCCTCAGCCTGGCTCCGTTTTATCGTCTGGAAACAACCTGTGACACCGGAGAGCGTGGGGGCGTGGGAACCACAGACGCATTCAAAATAATTAAGTACAAACAGCAGCTCCCCCTGCGCTGAGACCTCGTGCAACGAACGGACCTGGGTCACACCCCGCTCCCTGCCCTGCCCGGAGCCCTGCGCGGGGCTGCTCCCGCCGGGCTGGGCTCGGTCCGGTTCCCCTGGGCAGGGTCGGGGGTCGGGCAGCAGGAACCGCCTCCCCCTGGGCTGGGCTCGGTCGGGTCCCCGCGGGCAGCGTCGGGAGCCGGAGCCGGGTCCCCCGGGCTGGGCAGGGTCGGGAGTCCCGGTCTGGGGTCCCGGTCGGGGGTCCCAGGCTGGGCAGGGTCGGGGGTCCCGGTCGGGGGTCCCAGGCTGGGCAGGGTCGGGGGGTCCCGGTCGGGGGTCCCAGGCTGGGCAGGGTCGGGGGGTCCC